TGGCAACATAAGATCCTCGACTCGCTGACAGCTATTGTGAGCTGCAGCAACATTCTAGACTACAGTCTAAAGTCGGTTTTAGCATGGTATGACCCCAGGACAGAAACATCAGACTAAATCCAGTTTGTGTAAAACAGCCAACTGCACTACTTTGACCCAGCCGAAACATCAGTGCCCCTTGGTGACTGGAGAAAAATTCAGCTGTGGAGCACAGGGTAACTTCACACGAGTCCTTCAGGCAGCTACATGGGGAGGAGAGCCACGACGTGCCCAGGCCAAGCTCTGCGGAGAGGCAGGAGCCTGCAGCACACTGGGATCTTGCAGCCACAGACGCAGCCTAAAGGAACAGGAACAGGCTCCCAGAACGGCCTAATGGGGGGAGGGGGTGTTTTAAAACACACGGATCAGGTCTGCTGCATGGACAGACCCCTCGCTAACTAAATGTCACCATCCATGGCGATGGGGACTTCTGGCCACAGCAGCACAAGCCCCTCAAGCCAAGGGAAGCTGTGACTCCCTGGCCACTGGCCCGGTGGCTACCGGCAGAGGCTGATGCCGGAGGCCTCAGGGTCCCCAAGGCGTGTTAACATCCACCTGGACACCCACCCTGGGCACCCCTACGTAAGGCACAGCCCGCCCCGCCGGTACTCGCCCCGCTCGCTCTTTACCGAGCCCGTCACCTCGTCGTCGTTCAGGTGCCGCTTGAATTTCGGTGGCATGGTTTCTACCTGCTCCGTGCCCGGCAGGAAAAGCCTGGAGGGGAAGCGCAGGGAACGGCCAGGTCACCTCGATACCCGGGTCCCGGGAAAACCGGAACCCTCGCGCCGGTGGGGTGAGGTGAAAGGACCCTGGGACGGCGACAGCCCCCTGCACCCCCCCCCCGCCGTTTCAATTCAGCCCTCGAGTGACCCGGGACCCGCTGGAAAGCGGAGCCGGTGCCCAGACAGGCAAAAGACCCCCTCCCACTGCCCTACTCACCGGGCTCCGCTCCGGGCCGGGCCGGCGAGAAATGGCCGGTGCAACGGCGGCTCAGCTGTCCCATCGACC